CCTACCCCAGAGGTGGCTGCATTCCCATGAGTGAGCCCTGCTTGCTTATTCCTATGCTGCCATGCCCCGGCCCAGAAGCAGCTGCATTTCAATGCAGGCTGAATGATCCCCAAGGTACTTATTGCTGTGCTGTCCACGCACCACCCTAGAGGTGGATGCAATGCAGAGGTGGGTTGGGAGGCCTGGCTGCTTAATGTAGAAAATGCTGCGGAGAGGGGAAGGGGAAATGAGAACCGGAGGCCTGCAGGGCTTCCATCCCCGGCACACAGCTGTCCCCCAGCCCGGACAGGCCCCTTACCTCAACTGAGATGCTGGAGGAAGGCACGGGCGTGTACTGAGGGATGTAAGCTCCTTGCATAGCTGCTGCCGCTGGCATGTACTGGGGAGGGAGAGAGGAGACGTCAGGGGGCAGCTGGCGCCTGAGGAGCCCAGGGGCCTGGTGCCAGTGGACGATCAGCACCGGACAGGAAAGGATGGAGCCCAGATGAGGGGTAGGGAGGGAAATGCAGCCAATCAGGGCCAGGGCAGAGCCTGGACCGTGGGAGTCGGTACAGCCAATGAGCACAGAGTTGGGGATGGAGCTTGGGGGGAGGGGCAGAATGGCCAATCAGCACAAGAATGTGGCTGTGGGGGCGGAGCCTGGGGGCCAGCACAGAGCACCGGACAGGAAAGGATGGAGCCCAGATGAGGGGTAGGGAGGGAAATGCAGCCAATCAGGGCCAGGGCAGAGCCTGGACCGTGGGAGTCGGTACAGCCAATGAGCACAGAGTTGGGGATGGAGCTTGGGGGGAGGGGCAGAATGGCCAATCAGCACAAGAATGTGGCTGTGGGGGCGGAGCCTGGGGGCCAGCACAGCCAATCAGCATGAGGCTGGGGCGGAGCCTGGGGTTGGCTGAGAATCTGGCCCCAGAAAGGTCCTTTCCCAGGTGGTGTACAGGAAATGATGTCAGAGACCCGGTGAAGAGCAGGAAATGATGCAAAAAGTCGGTATCCATGACTTCCTGTTGGCAATAGGAAGTGAGGCAATTGGGCCCCATGGCCACCAGGAAGTGGGGTCAGAGGAGCCTCATTGGCCCCGTGGTGTCAAGCCTCACCGTGGGCTGCATGAGGTACGACTGGTGGTGCATCCAGGACGGGCTGTGAACCTGCAGGAGAGGGGTGTCAGTGAAGTGAGGCAATTGGGCCCCATGGCCACCAGGAAGTGGGGTCAGAGGAGCCTCATTGGCCCCGTGGTGTCAAGCCTCACCGTGGGCTGCATGAGGTACGACTGGTGGTGCATCCAGGACGGGCTGTGAACCTGCAGGAGAGGGGTGTCAGTGGGGTCCCGGGCTCCCCAGCTGGGGGTCCCCCCCACCAGCCCGCACCACTGGTGTGGCCCCCCCAGCC